AATACCTAACCAATTTCCTAGCCATCTTCCCCTAACCCCAATATTTACATGTAAAGATAGCCTCGTTTAGCGCTGTTTCGCATTACGCTCTACTTTGATGGAACGTATCCCCCGTGTTAAGCGGGGTCTTACTGTATACCTTTTTGGCATGCGTTCTTGATACATCTTTCTTTCAGAGTTTCTGCATATGGTATTTCATGGAAATGGGCATTTTTTGGTTTTCTTGTGTTTTGAACTGCAGTATGGCGCATGTACCATTTTCTTCTACTGACAGTGGGGCAGTTAGCATATCAGCCAGGTGGCCCTGCTGATGTTATTAACTTTGCTACAAAAGTTCCTGGACTTCAGGCTCTCCATGCCTATGTTTAGTGAGGGGTAAACAAAATTTTTCAATCCTTTTAAAAAATCCACAAAATGCTTTGGTGTGTTGCTTGCAAGATGAGCTCTGAGGGATGCAAAACAGAGTGCTGAACGAGTCAGTGGTTGTTCTACTGTCCACATTATGAAGTTAGAGATCAATAGATACAACTTAAATACTTAATGCACTTCTACAATGTAAACAGTTAATGAGTTCTGTAGATAATTACAGTACAGGTAAAGGTTTGACTGAGTTACAAGGATGTACTTGGTATGATCATCTATGTAATACACTGCTGCCCATTAAAATTGAAACACCAAGAGGGAATGATCTGATGGACATCAAAATCACATGAAAGGAGGAAGTTGCGATATGTAAATGATTAGTATTTCAGCATATTTAGACAATGCAGGAGGGAGAAATGATATCTGAAGCACTACATAAAAGAAAAGTTTAGTAGATTTCTCATCTGGAAAGTGCTGTGTAAGGTTGGAGTTTGCTCAGAACATTGTGTTATGCCTTGAATAAGAAGAGGAAATGCTTACCAGCAAGTTTTGAAATTCGATAGAGGCAGGATTGTTGCCTATCGAAAGTGTAGATTATCGTTTTGTGATATCACTGGTTGCACTGATCAACATCCAACTACTGTCATGCGAATATTGAATCAGTGAATTGCTAAGGGTCATGCTGAATGGCATGCAGGATCTCCTGGATGCCCTTCCATGACTAATGCGAGAGAGGACAGCCATATTGTGAGGTAAGCCCAGCAAAACCATACTACCACATCACGGATCATTAATCAGGAAATGGGTGTGTTTGCAGCATGCCCAATATCAGCTCATAGGATGAGTCTACGTTTGCAGTAGCGTGGACTATCAGCAGGGTGATCATTATTTCAGCTTCCCTTGACAATGCAACATAGAGAGAGACAGTGACTCTGGTGCACCGAACGACAAATCTGGGTACAGGAGTGGCACAGTGTTGCCCTTTCAAACGAGTCCCAGTTCTACGTGCAGTATTCTCTTAGCTTATCTGGAGTGTTCAAGGAGGCTGCATGGTGTCTGCTTGCATTCGATATCGGCATAGGAGCTGTTGCACCAGTTGTGATGGTTTGAGTAACCATTGGGTAAACGACATGCACATCTGTAATTTGGATCGACAGTAATTTGAACACTGATGGGTACAGTTCTGACACCTTGGTTTCAGTGGTTTTGCTCTATCTTCAAGGCCCCCAAACGGCATGTTCCAACAAGATAATGCAAGACAACATGTTGCACAGCATGTTCTGACCTTTCTCAATACACAGGGTATTCGATACGAAGGTCACGACTTGCACTGGCATCAAGCTTATTTGTCTTCATGCAATATTGTTTTATGTGCAATCAATATCTTTTTTGTATTTACTTTCTTTCATGGTGTTGAAATTTTAATGGCTAGCAGTGTACAGTGAGTGTGACGAAAAACATTTAACAGAGTTACTGATACAAAAAGATAGAATAATACATTAACCAATGCAATATGCACAATTATTCAAAGTTAAAATTAGAGGACCTGACATTAATTAAAAGATAATATGTGTGTGTGTATGTAAGATAATATGTGTGTATGTATACATGCACATTAAGTAAAAAAAAATAAAAACTCATAAAAAGAAATAAGACGAAAGGAAATAAAAGAGAACAGAAAACATTAAATAAGCTAGATTAAACGCAAGTACTGAACATATAGGGGCTGTGCTGGCAATTAGGATGGCAACTGAAAGTTACTCCAGCCCATTTGAGATATTATGTGTGATATTGATGCAGTCGCAGATGAGTTTCAAAGCAGAGTGATTTTTTAATGTAACTTCAGCCCCAGCACTGATATGCTTCTCTGCAGGCCGTCTAAGGTGATGTTTCTTTGGAACCTCATAGCCAATACTGCTCTGAACTTAGATTTCGAAGACTGCTTTTATTCAAGCTTATGCTGGTGATTTTATTCTGGTCATCAATGGTAGCAATCATAGTACCATAGAAAGAAAGGCTCACAAAGCCTTGGATTACAGAATGGAGCTGCACTTACAAACTGAGCTTCAGCGTGGAGAAGACAAAAATGATAATATTCCCGAAAGGGAATAGACTCATCAGCAATCCCCCCCAGGATTAAATGGGAGGGCCACGTGCTAAGAAAGCAGGACACCCTCAAATACCTGGGTTTCCTCATCCATAAGAAGCTAACTTAGTTCCCCCCTTTAACTGCAATAAGGGACAAGACCAGCATCCTCTTGAACAATCTAAGCTGGATAGTAGATATGAGATTGAATCTCAAAGGTAGACTCCTCAAAGACTACCTCAGAGGGGTAGAAAGGATGTTTCTCTATGGTTCTCTTATCTGGATGCTCGGCACCACATGATTCAACCAGAAGCTCTTACAGATCCAGCAGATTATTCTATTCAACATGACTAAGTCTTTTACAGCCATGTCCACAACCGCTCTTCAAGTTCTAGCGGGTACCATGCCTCTAGACTTTAAAGCAGAAGAACGATGCTCCTACTGCCTATTTCATAAAAGAGATTACAAGATTTCTCTATGCCGAATTGGATGGCAATTCCATGGAACCTCGGTTCCTTACCCCTCAGTTCATCCAGCATTCGCAAAAGACTCTCTTGGAAAAAGTCCTTACCAACTGTAAGATTTTCACTGACGGTTCCAAGATCTCAGACGGAGTAGGTGCAACCTTTGTAGCCTACATCAACAACGAGGAACTACACACAGCAGCGACTAGACTAAGCGACTGCGCCTCAGTTTTCCTGGCGGAATCCTTAGCCCTCAAAGTCACTGCCCTATGGCCAAGATAATTCCACTCCATGGACATTTTGTTCTTTACGGATAGAATGAGCATCCTATAAGGCCTCATCACATCTCCTCTCTTAAAGAAGTTCTATTGACCCTTGGACATTCAAATAACTGGATATGTGGATAAGGTATCACACGATAGCCTTGCTAAATAAGCTACAGATTGCCCAGAGTTCGACTCCTAAGTCCCCATCTCAGAGCTGGCACTAAAGGACAGAATCTTTCAGATCCTTCTAGAGCACTGGCAAGACCACTGGGAGTCAGCCAACACCGGTCGCTTCACCTGCAGGATCTTCCCTTCAGTCTCTCTTAGACGCTGAAGTCCGACTTTTATATTTTTTAAGGTCTCACTAATCATGGGCGTTTTCTGAGCTACTTTGAAAGGTTCTGTCACTAGAGCATAAGATGCACCTGCAGAACTCCTCTCCATCTCTCATAGCCATCCACTATCTCACTTCCTGTAGTCTCACTGAAGATCTGCGGTCTCGACACCACATTCCTCGGTCACACTCCAAGTCTCCAGAAGATCTTCACAGATTACTATGGTCAAAGAGGAGCACGAGCCATTCTGAAATTCATCAACTTAAATTGAAGAGATATTGTTATAAGCTAAAATCCAGGCCTGTGACCTGAAGTATGTAAATATTGTAAATAGTTTCCCTTATTACTAACATGCTTTAAAATTCTTAACTAACAAAACTTTAATGTAATCTAGTTTAAATCTAATGTATTGTAGTGTCATAAATAAAAGTAGGCTGGAAACATAAACAGTTGAAAGATTCTAACGCAACGACAAGAATGCTATAATCCAACCTGTTATGCCCAATGAGAGGCAAAGCAGGCTTGTAATAATTATTATTATTTGCTGAAAGTGCATGGTTTTTCTCTAGATTACATATAAAAAAAAGACAGATTTGTTTCATCAGTGAAATATGGTGCAATTCTCTTTCGTATCTGAGAGCTCATGTATCCGAAAATGTCGTGCTTCAGTTTTCCAATGAGTATCAAATGGTGTTGCGGGCCACCTGCCATATATTAGCCAATGAGCACAAAGCAGGATTGAGGTTATTATTTCGTTTGTGTCGCTGCTAAGTGCTCCGAGTTTCACATACTTTCAAGAAATTGTGTTTTTTTTATTTATGTCAGCAAAAAGATAAAATATTCATGTATTAGTTTAAGAGCACATAACTTCAGATTTTTGGATTATAAGAGAGCTAATGCTTCTGCCTCTCGAGGTCATGTTGCTAGGTTTCTGCTAGGTCAGTTAAGATTGTATTAGTTGGCTTTGCATTATAGCTGTCAGCATTTGTTACGTCGGTGAGAGATTTGAGCCAACTTTGTGTTGTAGCCTTCAGCTGCTAGTCTTAGTTTTAATATTGAATTCTACTGATACTTTAATCATGCATTCCAGTTCTGGTTTAATAAAAACTTTTGTTTTAAAACCTTCCTAAGACTATGTAGTTCTTTTCAGATGAAGTGATAATTCGCTTCTAGTCTGTTAGGAGTGTGGACTTAAGTTTATGCTAACAAAGAAGACTAAAACTGTTATATGTGTATGGTATGTTTTGATGAATGTTTAGTAAGCAAAATTTGTATTTATTTAATTTTTTTAAAAATTTTGTTAATAAATTTTTTCATAAAAAACCCTTCAGTTGGTTTTAGATTGTGCATGTGGCCTGCATGCAATTTGAGTTTGAGACCACTGCCTTAAAGAAGAATTATTTGTAACAATAATTTATTTTTAAAATAATTTATCATAAAAAGTTCATTCTGAATATTATAATAATATTAAAACTATTATTTTTAGGCAGCTTATGGCCACCCTGGTTTATCTTATGCATTCTCTGGAAACTGCCTTCCAGCTGTACCTTGGCAAAACTGTAATATTATAAAGCAACTTAAAGAGGTAGTTGAGTCTGTCACAAACTGCAAATTTAATTTTGTTCTGGTGAACAGGTAATTAAAGAATAATTCCATAAAGAAAATTATTTTGCTGCATTTTAATTTACATGCTCTGATATTTCTATAATTGTGAAGCTAATTTAATTTCTTTTGAATTATTTCATTAATTTGAATTCCAGAATCATAATACAATTTTTCTGCTTTTAAAATATTGTTTTGAGTTTGTTTTCAGTTATGAAAGTGAATTATGAATAAGTGTAAATTTCCCAAATAAAAAGTTGCTACATAATAATAATATACATTTTTGTACATTATCATTAAAATAAATTTTTATATACAGGGCAAAAAAGTCTGAAATCTGGACATTCAGTACCCAGAATGATCTAAAATCCAGACTTCTGGACAACCAACAACCTTTTCTTTTTGTCTGCTGTACCACTATGCATTTGCTATTTTTTCATAATAAAGCATGTGGAATCCCGATTCTTACTTTCACTTTGGCGTTAACTAAAATACCTCCATACTTAAGAAATGATAATTTATTAGCATAAGTCAATTTGATCAATAACTTAGCTCTGCAGCCGCCTTTTTGCTTGCCATATATCTCAAACCGAAACATTCTATATCAGTTTTACACCTGCTAAATAATTTATACCCATCTCCAACCTAGTGAATCATTATTATAGTTTGCTTTTTAATTGCATAATTATCAACACATGGCAACTCAAAGAATGACTTATGAAGGGATTTTTTAAATTTGTTTTTAAATATTAGTGATTAAATACCAAAAAACATGGTAACCATTTATTTTGATGTGCTTTGCAGTGATTATAGACATCAGTGTTCAATACTGTGAAGTGTTGAATATGTTGACGAGAAATTTAACAGAAATTTCTTTCTATATGTAAAAAATAGATTTTATAAATGAACTTTGTTAGCCAAAAGATTACTTTTAGTGCTGGTTGAATTGAGAATGACTGGTTTGTTAGACAAAATTTTGTAGAATTTAGAAAAGCACCAAGCAACAAAATTAAGGGATGGCAAAATGTTTAAAACTTAGGTAAGGCAAGGGGATGCAAAATATTTAGAATATAGGGAGCCACTTGACAGCAGAGATTAGAACATACAGAGGCTGCCTTAGATTGTAAAATATCTAGCATCTGCCCTAGGTAAACTTTACATATATCTGGGAATATATTTATTGAGGACTCAGTTAAGCATGCATAACTTCATCAGCATGTAAAATAAAATTTAGCAGAACAACCTATCTTTCTTTGCCAGTCTCATGATACATCACCATTGGTGTATAACTGACAATAGGTAAGCTTTATGATACTCATCACAAATTTGAAGATTTACAGATATCAAACAAAGAGGGAAATTTTCCAATTAATGACATTTGTGGTGAAGTAATAAATAAGGATATGATTGAAGATTTTTCATTGTAATGACAGTGCCTCAATCATCAATCAACTAACCAATGGCAGAATCAGTAGTATGGTTTTAAAGCCAGAAAGTATTCTTACCAATAGTGAAGAAAGTCATACAAACATTTCTTGGGTCATAAATGCTTCATTATTTCATAAAACGCATTTTCATATTTTCAATTTTATAATTTCTACATGTGCATCGTACTAGATTTAAAATTGATGATCTAATATCCGAAAACATCTCTGACTCGGAACCAACAGACTTTGGGCCCGATTCTTAATTTCACTTCGGCACTAAATAAAATACCTTGTTATTGAAGAAACAATCATTTTAGCATACATTTGTGTCATCAATAATTTGGTTCTGTAGCTGCATATCTGCTTGGCATACATCTCAAATCAAAACATTCTACATAAAAACATTGTTGGTTTTATACCTACTAATATTCTATATACTGACGCCAACCCGCCAAATGGCAATGATTACAGATTTAAGTTAAATACACTAAAAAATATTAATGAGAAAAAATTTAACAAATATTTCTTTCCATATGCTAAAAATAGATTTTATTAGTGATACTCATAGGCCAAAAGATTGCATTTAGTGCTGTTTGAATTAAGAATAACTGATTTGTTATTCACATAAACCAAGAACCAGCACCAGAGTTCGTATGACCGCACTGGGTAGCAGTATTTAGGGAAGCACAGGGCAACAAAATTAAGGAATGACAAAATTTTTAGAATTTTGAAAAAGCACTGTGAGCCAACATTTAAGGGTGGCAAAAATTTAGAACTTAGGGAGGTGCATGGTAGCAGAATTTAGGACCTGCAGAGATTGCATTAGGCAGTAAGATATCTAACGCCAGCTCTCGATAAGCCTTAAGTATACGTGGGAACTTATTTATTCATAAAGCATTCATAAATAATATATTCATGAATTCACTGGCCCTAATTGTAGCCAACTGTTTGGCTCATACTTAAAGTTTTAGTGAAAATAATGTAATCTGTATTATTCTTTTCTCCAAACTGTCCATCCATCAATAAGCCTATGGATATCGTAATGTTGTGCATGCTGAAATGCTATTATAAAGTAGCATGTTTAAGGTAGGTCCATATTAAATTATTGCAGACCAAAGGTGAAAATTTCCAATTAATGGATTTTGTAAAGAAATGTTGAGAAGTGGTAATAAATGAAGATGTTATAACAGCAGTTCCTCATTGCAATGACAGTGCCAAATGGCCAGAATGGAACAAACCATTTGATCAATCAATTAATGGATGGCAAAATCTGTAGTATGGTTCTAGATCGAGAAAATTCTGCTTTTGATAATGAAGAAAGTGACAGGTTACTGAAAACAAAAAATTTCGATTGACAAGTTAGTCGTAATTCTCGATTCAGCAATGACAGGACTTGAACGATGGAACTTTATAACTAAACAAAAATTTATGTCCGTCTATAGAATTAAAGAAATTATTAGCACAGGAAACGAAGCAACTTAAACAACTTGTATTGAAAGAAATGTTTAATAAAATAAACATATAAATGTTAAGCTTTTTTTTTATAAATTTTGATACACTTTATTTCATAAATGCTTCATTATTTCATAAATCACGATTTCATATTTTTAATTTCTACATGTCATCTTACCAAATTTGAACTGATGAAAACCAGAAAAATCTGGAATTGCCGAAGTCCTGATGAGTCCGGATCTCGGACTTTGCTGCCATTGCCAGAAAATAGAGTGCCAAATTGCCAGAATGGAGCAAACCATTTGATCAATCAGTTAATGGATGGCCAAATCTGTAGTATGGTTCTAGATCCAGAAAATTCCGCTATCAATAGTGAAGAAAGTGACAGGTTACTGAAAACAAAAAAATTTCGATTGACAAGTTAGTCAGAATTCTCCATTCAGCAATTACAGGACTTGAACTTTGTAACTGAATAAAAATTTATGTCCATGTTACGCCATTCATTGTTCACCGAAAGAGCATGGCTCTTGCTATTTGTAAAAAGCTAAAAATAATTTATTTCTATTTTTAAATGAAGAAGTTCGAGTTTGTACGTTGGAGCAAAGGTAAAATATTTATATTTATTGTGTAGAGTTTTGATTTCCAGCCCATTCCTCAAAGAGGTGGACATAATATTTTTGGAGTCAGGAAGTGGAGTTAAATGAAAATGTGTTAATAATGTGTATCATCAAATTTTGTGAGAAAAAATAGTGTGGTGATGTGGGAATATGCGTTGCACGGAAATCGAATGTGAAGATAATGGTTCCATTGTGTAGATTAAGGTGAGTAGTTATTTCGGTTTGTTGAAATAATGTTTAGTGTTAAATTCTGTTCATTAGTGTTGTGCATTGAAGTGTTCCTACTTGATAATTTGAGTTGATAGTGTCTGTGTTGAGTTTGATGTGTTTGTTTTTGTGCTCATTGTGTTCTAATTGTCGATTTAGAGTTGTTGTAATTTTCTTTGAATTAAGATGAGTGTGAAGTCGCTCAAGTCATTAAAAAAGATGAGTTGACGCTCGTGGCGAAGGAATTAGGATTAGTAATTTCGAGTGGGGCAAAAATTGTTACTTTGAAAACTTTCATAGAAAGCTTAGAACTTTATGCAAATGATACTGAATTTGTGCAAAATGTTATTGATAATATTCTAGAGGAAAAAAAAATGCAAACTGAGAAACAAAAATCAGAAAACGAAATTAGATTAGAGTTAGAGAAAATAAAACTTTCTCAGTTAGAGGTGGAATTAGCTTTAGCTAACACTAGAACAGACTTGCTACAAAATCCAAATGTTGAGACGAACAACTCAAATCAAAATATGGAAAATTTAATTAAAAGTGTAAAAAAAAGTTTTCTGTACCTACTAAAGCAGAATCCTTTAATCTCTTTTTCCAGTCAATTGAAAGGGCTTTTAGGACAAAAAAAGTACTTGAAGATTTAAAAGCAGAAATCCTATTAAATATTTTGGGAGAGAAGGTCGCTAATTTAGTGGTTTATGTGAAGGAAGAAGATATTAATAATTACGATAAACTAAAGTCCATAATTTTAAAGGAATTTCAGCCAACCCCTCAAGAGTGCTTAAATGATTTTCGTTCCATGCAAAAATTGTTATCTGAGAATTTGGTACAATTTGCATCAAGGTTAAGTGCAAATGTTGACTATTATTGTCATTTGAGAAATGTTAAACGATTTTAAATCGTTATGTGATCTTATGGTTTCGGATAAAATATTCAGTGAACTTGATCGTGAATTAAAGACTTATATAGCAGTTAAACAGGGAGAATGTCTCTCTTTTGAACCCCAAACTTTAGGTCGTGAATGCGATATTTATTTGTCATCAAAAGGTAAACAGAAACCAGAATCCCTTTTTGCAAAATCATTTACAGGTAACAAATAATAAAAGAGGCGATGGAAATAATGTTAATAAACTTCGTAATTAAAATTGCAAAAATATTTCTAATGTACATGAATCTGGAGCAAAAGATCAATCATGTATTTTGTGTAAAACAAATCCAAACCACTCGATACAAAATTGTCCTAATTTTAAAAGACTTTCAGTAAATGAGCGAGTTAAAATAATTAAACAAAATAATCTTTGCTTCAAATACTTTTCTTCTGAGT